TGTCGAACAACTGTCGTGCGCCTGGTCTGGCGGCAGTTGTGGGGATGATCGTGAAATTCGTTGTGGTTGCCATGTCACGTGGAAAAAACAGCACTCCGGACCGCGCATGTTAGGAAATACTTGTCTCATGCTTATCTTAACTTTCCGCACTCAAAGGCAAGAGTTCAGGATTGGATAACCGTGTTTATTTTGTTGTTGAATCCTAAAAATTAACAGGTTCGATCACATTAATATGCAAAGGACTGTCTCGCAACACTATTCCGACCCAGTTAAAGTTTACTCACAAAGGGCCTTCATTGAATTTATCTCGAAAGACGCTCCAAATCGTACCATCAAACAGCAGACATCAGCAAACATGGCCACATGAAAATTCGGTTAACTGACTCTGTCGTTGATGTAGATAATTAAGAGGGTGGGACTAGAAAGGGGGCTTAGATGATCAGTGCCTTCAGCCACAGCGACTGCCGACTGCCCGTCGCCGAAATGGATATGTAGTGCCAGAACGTGTGATTACATTTTAGACTTTTGCTTCCACATGTCTAAATTACCTACTTCGATACAAATTGATAATGAAGTTAGACATCAACACATCGCTGACAAGAACTTTAATTCACATCAAACCCACAGTGTACAAATTGCAACCCGAGTCGTGTCTATCAAAGCAATTATGTTGCATATACATAACAAGATTAATAGAATGCTTCCTGCGGGTAATTCATCAGAAGCGCCTACTAAATCAGTGTGCAAATTTGCAGAGTGTGGGAAACATGAGGTAATCGAGGAAGTGCACTTACCGGGGACTCGGAACACTACCTTGAAAACTTTATAACGACGATTAAATTTTGTCCCCACGTTTCGGATTCCCACTCGAATCCATCCCCAGAGACAGTCGCAGATGAAGGTGATGGCGGCACAAGGAGTGCAGTAGATATAACACGTAGCTGCCGTTGGACCATACGCGCACTGCAATTAACAGCCCTCGCAATCATCGCTGGGATCATAATTGATAATGTAGTGGTTTGTTAGTCCAAGTCCGAGTCGGTAATTTCCTTGCCTTCATCATCCGTGCTGGATGTTGGTGTGACGATCTCTCGGCAAATTGGCTCACTGTCACTGGGAGTATTGTTCGCCCGCGCCCTCCCCACGTGACTGATTCCCTTGCCCATAAAATTCTCGCCGCTCAATACGTTTCTTGCTGATGATATTGCGGAGAAATTCGCTTTTGTTGCTTACTTCTAGATTGCTTTTTACGATTATAAAGGCATGGCAGAATAGCTCATGCCATTTTGAATGTTCGCATGCAAGATGCTAGAACGCAAGACAAGTTAGGTCGCATATGTCCTAAGCTAAACGGCAAAACAAATTCGACCCGTGTATTAACAAGCTGACTCCTGCGGATATCAATCAATCAGCATCCCATGGCGGTACGCTAAAATGAGCAGCCAAAATCAACGGCAAGTGCGGCATTAATCCTCATCAAAACATATGAACGCTGTACCTCATAAAATATGAGGACATATCTTTCGCCAAAAAGTTTACTTCCTTGGAGAAGGGGATGAAGAGGCGCAGTAGATGCCTCCAATATACGCAAATGTCCGTGCGGAAACATTGAAAATCTGCAAAAGGTGGAATTCTTTCTTCTCGCAAAAGCAAAAATAAGCCAGACCATAAAATGCATTGCATGATATTAAATGACTAAGAAAGGCTGTATGGCTAGCGGTGCGAAAGCAACGTTAAAGGACTTTTCTTATTCGCGACGGAATGAGTATGTGAGTAGGGGAGATATTTTTAATCGGAGTAAGGTCTGCGCTTTTAGGCGTTTACGGCTTTTTTCCTCTTCTGGCGGTCACCTGTTGCACTGGTTGCTGACGCTGAATTTGTCGGGGATTTCTAGTAGAACGTACGCTTGATGCTATCGCTTACATTTGCTTGTAAGGCAAATGCATACGACAATCTGCTGTATGCAGTTTTTATGAGCTTTTGAATTATTTGATAAAAAACCTACATTCGGGTCTACATGTGCCTTCCGTCAAAACTCTACCATGGGCGTTTTACACATCGCATGCGAATAACGAAGAACACTGATTCATCAAGTAGAGAGTGCCAAGGAGAACGCTTTGATAATTACTAACAGGCAACACATCTTATTTTAAGAAACGTAGTTGCGACAATTCTTGTTCATGGGCAAATCTCTTGGTTCCGTCCCCTCTAGAAACCTCTTCAAGAAAATTTCATTGCCGTTCTAATACAACCGAGTGCTACTGCAAAAGTGGGCTTTTATAAGATTAAGGATAGAAATAAAAACCTACTGTCATCCATTAGCTGGTTTTGGTGATAAATTTCAAGCAGATTTTTAATTAACTGTCCGATTCCTCTCACATGAATTCGAGAAATTAACTAAAAATCTGCTGATTTACAATATTTACTCCTATAAACTTTCACATAGCTCGAGTCCTAAGGAGACGACTGCAGTACTTTCGCAACTTTGTCTGGAATGTTGTTTTGCTAGAGTCTCGCAAATGTTGTCCTTCCTCAAATGACAGCAGTCAATCAAGCTGTGGCTATATTTCTCTGAACAGTCTAACCGGCAAGACAACATTCCTCGCACACAGACAGCCATAAATCCTACACAAATCTTATCTAGGGCAAGGATATTCTCCTGAAATTCTAACCTGTCGGATGCTTAATTTACTGACGGACCGGGTTCTTGAATATAATACAGCAAATAATGCTCTAAAGTATCTAAATTTTCGAGGTTTTTGTACGTCTAATGGTTTTACTTTTTTAATTGGAAAATGGTATAAATGGGAGACATCATACGGTTAGCTACCTGGTGTGCTTGGCATTAATATCCATCTGCGCTGAACGCAATGGTCTATCATATTTACCTGCAAGAAATCAAACTTGGCAACTTGCGCTCACGATTACCAATCACAGGCCCTGTAACGAAATATAAGACAAGTAAGAACAGCTGAAGCTTAAACTGCCGGTAAGCGACAATTACGGTGCAGGGGTTGAGGACTGTCAGAGGTCAGCGGTACAATTTAATTCTCTTTGGTGATGTCGGGAAAGGCGATGAGAGACGAGGAGTGGTAAGGTGTCTGGAGTGTCGCCCTATCTCCGTTTCGTTTTTGTTGCGCGGCGTGGTAGTCGGTGTGAATACACCTGCTGGTTCACCTTTGGCCAGGGAAGCCTTAGGACCCGCACGAATGATTTATGTGAGCAAAAGATTGAGTTGGCTCATCGTATGGCTATTGTCTCTGTCATATCAAGTATTCGCTAAGGTAGGATCTTTTAGTGTCTCGCTGACGCGTTGCAGATGACTCGGAGTACCGCTGGCATTGTTGGTGTGCAGTACGGTTTTTTAAAGACCTACGCGCCTTCCGCGTTATAGGTTTGAAAAGGGGTACTGAGACGGCCGTTGCCTAGACAGGTGAATGCCTCAAATGAGCCCGGGCTTTCATTCTTCAAAAGCGGGTAACCAAGCTTTAGCTGTGATTGCCCCATTTGCTCTGAATTTCACCATCTTTTGTTAGTTTGAGTTAACAAATTTTTCATTTCACAGGCTGGACAAAGTTTATAGGACTGTGAATCGTCGAGTCGGCTCAAAGCTTTCTTTTGGTAATCACATATGTCAAGTACTATTGTGGAACGACCTTTGTCAGCCGACAGGATGATTATGTCTTTATCCGCTTTTAGGCTTTTTAATGCTTGCTGTTCTTCTTTGTTGAGAGATTCACTCTTATTGTGTTGCATTAACTCAGAGGAGGTATTTGACGTATCAACTCTTCCGTCTCTTCCAGCGCCTTTGTTAGTTGAAGAACACATTCAAAAGCGGAAATGAACTCTGGGGGCGCAGCGTCCGCTGTGTTGAAAGTGGCTCCACGTCTGTATATTTTGGTCAGTTTTACCATTCTGTTAAGCAGGTACCATTCTGCACGTGAATTCCAGTAAGATAAGTACGTCAGGTCTTTACTTGATGTAGACGTCCATGGTTTACAGGACTTAATGCAGTTTCTCCGAAACTAACTGATACGTTCACAGCAAGAGTGCAATTTGTACATAAAATTATATTCTCATACTATAGGGGTTAGTTAATTTGCGTCCCTCTTTCGGGTCAGTTGGCCAACAGGCCATGTTTGCTCGATAGTTTTAGGCTCCGTATGCCTGTCTTGTCTTCGTCACGGCGTATGCAATGACGTAAATCTTTATAGACCGAAGGAATATCAAGATGCATGTTGATGAAGTTGCAGACATGTGATGAAAGGAATGCAAATACAACTCACGCTTGCAGTTCACGATAGTAAAGCAAGTGTCTACTCGCGCACAGTGAACCCGAGTGGTAATGAACCTGGGTACAGTTGCTGAGAACTCTTTAGACGCGACCCGAAGTACATGTTTTGTAGTTGTATCTCGGACTTTAATTTGTTTATAGCAATACAGACTGCGCAACGACAAGCTGATCTCTTCAGCACAACTGCGAGGCAGTCAGTGACGAGGTCCGATGTAAATGCAAAGGTTTTTCATCACAGAACTCGACCTGAGTATACATGTGCACAATGTCAATAAGCCCAAAAGTTTTCGTTCTTCTGCAATCAGCCCGTAACTAGCAACCTCAGGGCTGCCTTTCATTAGAAAATAAAAATCATCTAGTGTTCAGACGGTCCATAAATCGGTGGTACTCGTGGTTTCATTCAGCCATTCTTGGTAGTCTTGAAAACTGAAGGTTCTTATTAGCAAACTAACCTTTCCGTGAAGCATGTCGCTGTTTAATAACGCGACCTAGAATGTCGTTCAAAATAGGCAGTTTTGGCTCTCACCGCCCTCTGTAATGTCCCACTCTGACGAGGTGGTTGAACTGTCAATCAAGGCATTAACCGCTCTTCCAAAACAGGCCTTATTTTATTGAATGCAGGTCGAATTATTTGGTGCGCAATTATTGGCGCTTAGGTTGTATATAAATAGAAGAGTAAGACTTCGTAAAGCGTGGTCGTTTGCAGATGTTTCAACAGCTATTCCTCGTGACCCTTGTCCAGGGCGTGTTTGGAGAAGGTAAAATTATTTTAAACCATGCAGCATCGCCATATTGCACTTGCCAAGTTTCTTTTTAAAACCTGATTCCAGATGCGAAAAATAACCTTTCATATTATAGTGATTAAGAGCCAACTGCGGTTCAAACAGAACAACGACTACGTCTTCACAAAAACCCTCTTTGAAAACGTTGAGGTACAACACTTTTACTGGAAGATTGCCTGGCGCACTTTTATTTCCCAATTAACCAAGTTTCTTTGCAGTATATGACAGTCGATGGCAAGAATATTTCGAAGCCGGAAAATGGTTCAAACTGTGTTGCACCCAATGACTGCTGGCAAATTATCGAACGTAAGCTATGTTTGCCCTATTTTCCCTGCGTCCAATTGGTCCATTTGAATAGCCGAATAAGCATGACTGACAGATTGAAGGACGCATTCACCAAAGTCCAACCTTCATTTAAACGGACTCGCGTATATGGCCTACTCTGAACAGCACATGAGCGAAGGAACGGCCTGCAATACGGGTGGCTATGGGCCCACTTCCACCAAAATTAGTGTTTGACTAAGGTTTTGATTTGGGGTTCTGTTAGGGATTAGGTTTAAGGGCAGATGTACAGTTGACTGAAAAGTAAGACTTGATAAGTTTTTGAGCTACGAGAGTGACTAGGATTTGCTAAATAATTTGGGATTAGGGCGGAGTTAGTGCTGTTTTTTAATATTAGATTTAGGAGGCGGAACATTTAGCCGCTTCCGTAAAACCGTGCAGGAGCAGAATAAGTAGCTATTAAGACCCGTTCTGTTGGCTACATAAGTCAGTTCCACCAATAAGCTTCCCTAATATCCAATTACAAACAATTACAATTTTGTAATTTTTCCAAGAAATTCGTGTGGGTGCAATTTGATTTGGGCGTCCGGTAAGTGCAATTGATTGGAATATGCTCACATAACTCGCTTGAGATACACCGCAGCGCAAATTATTAGGCAAATGTCCGCTCAATTTCTCTTTATAAACCAAATACTTATGCGAGCCAGCTTAAAATATGGACCAAGTTGCTCGTTTTATCTGCTTCCGACGATGACCTGCGGAGCCATATTTGAAAATAAGAAATTGTGCGACTTTCTCAAAGACCTCAATTAGCAACAAATTCTATCTCATGAGATGTATTTTATGAACACGGGCCACATCATTGCACTTGTAATCAAAAGACCTCGTGTTCGGGCTAGGGGATGTGTCAAGGCCGACTGCCGACGGCAACTAAGTCACTTGTGCGCTTTTCTCAAAAGCCTCATTTGGCAACAGATTATATCTCATGGAACGGATGTATTTTATGAGCCGGAATAGGCAATTGGACCTGTAATCAAATGAGCTCGTGTTGGCGCTTCAAGTGCCGGCAAATCTGCGATTGATCAAGGCTGACTGGTGACGGCCACTAAGTCAGAATTCGTAGAAAGTCACCCTACGACTTAAATACTAATCGTCCCGCCATGGTAGGCACCGTAATGTGATCGGTGAACACCCACGTCATCAGAGATGTGTATGCACACAATCGAAATAAATATGTTCCCCTAATATCCACGCTCTTATATTGTAATTGAATTCTCTTTCTTTGCAAGCCGGTAGATACTTAATTGCCAACGGCCACCTGAAGGGAACGCATGCTGCATTCACGGTTGAGCCAATGGATTTCCCCAACAGAAGCAAAATTGTAGTTCAGTATCATAAACATGGCACGCAAGCTAGTGAGTCCAGAAAATTATCCTTTTACCCTACCTGATGATACGTAATTTACTTACGCATGTTAATTGGCTATGTAGCCCGTGCATTCATTTGAGTTCTAAAACTATTCAGGCCGTCCAGTGAACGGACAAATTGCTTAAATGAGCATCATGTTTATTGCTATTTCAGTTTAATGGACATACGTAAAGCAGCAGGTTTTCAGTACCAAGATGAATAAAACTGTTCCTTCTGAAACTTGATAGGCTTTCCGGCTCATGGATTAACTGAATTGCATGTTACATTTTCTCTTCTAGATTCGATGTCGACGAATGAATCACGTCCTGTCCTTACAAAAGAAATTCTCAACAATGAAAAAATTATTCACGTTCTGCTCTTTAGTACAGATATTCGGGTATATATTTGAATATTGGAAAAAAAATTCATAATATGTGCGTTGTAAAAAGAACCTTTACGATTGTCATTAGAAGCTTGAGCTAAAGTTATACTATGAAACATACCAACAGTTGATTGCACGCATCCCTACGTGTAAACGTCTATACATGCACAATAAGCGCTTTCACAAAAGAGATTTTAATTACTTTTCAGAATGTGAGCGTCATGGGAAACATTTCAACAAACAAAATAGATTTCAATGTCATATCTCTGCTTGGGAAGACAGGTAAGCGTTAGTTTACACTGTTATGCCACTCTTTGCAGGATATTTAAGCCTCATCTGTTTTCCATTCAGGAGTGTACGACATTAGAGCTGTACTCTTTACTGGACATTTGGATACGACGCCACGGATAGTGAAAATAAGATTTACGACCGGCAGAGAAGACCACATTACAATTACTCCCTCCAATAAAACCGAGGCGACGGTGCCAATGCTGACGTTCATTGACTATGTTCACGCCTTCAAGTTGAATTAAATGAGGCTGTATGCGATGGGTGTCATTTTGCTTATGGCCTTATGTCAAGGTGTGGTTCTTGGAAGCTTAGACTTTTAACATACGGAAATAAATGGTGTTTGCTTTTGAATTCGTTTATTCTGTATTATTTGACAGATGTGCGCCTACGGTGTTTGCAATACCAAAATCCCGCTCATGCGAGCATATTTTGTCAGATTTGACAGAATGCCCTCAATCTACCTTGAATGGAACAAGGACATGAATGGTTATTTGAATACCCGCCACCATATGGAGAGTCGAGCTTCTTTACCAATGAGAGATTGAAGTCGGGAAAAATTGCTTCTGCTCAGTATATTCGCTGCCATCTCATGGAGAAGTGCGCAATATCTAAGTCAGCAGCGATGTCCAACAAAGGAGAGGAGAGTTTAAGCGAGTGCGTGGTTGCCTGTTTTCTATCGAAGTGCGTACACGTTTATTTGCCCAGGACGTAGATGTCCAGACCGTTTGTGTGTGCTCGTGTTGGAGGTGGTCGGCAGACATAACTACGTGGGAACGTACTTCCTAGGACAGAAATTCGCCGCGATAATTACTCCGCCTAGGTTAACTCACGGTATCGAATATGGAAGGGCAAGGTACTTGCAATGCTAACAGGCCGAAAGTCAGTAAACTACGGTCAAATCAACTCGCGGCTTACGTGATTGTCAGCTCTAGCGAGAATTTGCACCTCGTCGTGTCTGAATGTCTGGCCCATTTTTCGTCTAATTTGTCGCAGCTTGAGAGCTGGCGTCTTTTCTCCGCAGTACCGCCGTATATTTAACCATTCATTGCTTCTCCGCCGAACTTGTTTTTTCTATAACCCTATAAGGTCCGATAAACGAACCCAGGCCTTTCTTGCCGTGACAGTTTCCTTACGGTGTCAGTATCTGACGCCTGATGGTTCATTCCGTTGTGCATATACCTCCAAACTCAGGTGAGGAACGAAGGCGGCGGACGGCCTCCGAAAAATCTGTAACGTACAAAGACCTTCGCACAAAATTGAGGTCCGTACGATTTGGTTATTGCCCGTTTTCCTATACATCTTTTAGCGAGGTGTTGAGGGTCAACATTAGTTATGAGCAGTCATCGACGGTACTGTCTTTCGACAATTTTGTCTTTAATTTCATTGTATTTTGACCCAAAATGCCGAAAGAGCACATTTACACAACTGCATTTGAACTAATAAGTCGATTGTTGTTGAAGTGCATTATTACCGTCGTAACTGCCTGTGTGTTATCAAAAGTATTGAGGACGAAACACTAATTAATGACCTAGAAGGAAGGACTGAGTATATAAAATGCTAACAAGTAGAAAGCAGGCGCTGGCTAATCCGCCGACAAAGCATCCTAAGACAAATCGAGGCGAGATGATCGGTACAATTTTCTGTCTCATTGGTCTGCGAACGAGCTTTCGCATTCTTCGTAGCCTTTCCTCCTACTGGCCTAAAGCATGATCATTCGGAGCTGAGTTGTTCTGCAAACTACAAAACACTGGGCCGCATAAAATATAATGTGAATGCCTAGTATCTAAGAACATCCTACGCCTGTATATTTCTGTTATTAACACCTCTTAAGGCCAACGTGACTTATAATTTTTTTATTTTCTAAGGAAAACAAGGTAATTATCCTGCAATTCGTACCGTTTTGTTAGAAGCATTTTTATATCTGTGCCCACTAACTCGCATCAACGATCCTCTCCGAAAGTGCAACAAACAAACGTAATTTATCGCAAGTATACAAGTCTAACGATGCCAAAAATATTAAATGGCTTCTGTCAGTCGCGACGAAATGAACAAATGTTTAAGAGGAGTATTATTAACCGAAATACAGTCGTCGGTCCTGGGTGTCAGCGATGCTTTTCTCTTTTTCTTGAGGTTCCTTGTAACAATGGTTTCATGAACTGAAATAGTTGAATTAGTTGCCAAATGTACCGCTAGGCACTTTGGATTTGAGGTTTGGATTCGTTTGAGAAAAATCGTATTTGGGCCTCCGCGTACCTACGGTCGTACTCAAATGAAAAGCGTTTCTCGTATCGCATGGCAATGAATATAGGCACTGATTCGTTAAGTGGAGGGTTCCAGGGGAACGCTTAACAATTTGCAACAAGCCGTGCATTTTATAAGTGTCTGTGAAACATTCCAATTCATGGTAAATGTTTCTAGTTCAGCCCTTTTTAGAAACCTTTTTATGCACATTCCGGCGATGTTCTGTTACAGCCCAGTGCCACTGACAAAACTGGAATTTTATATAGAAGAATATGGGAATAGATATTAACTGTCATTGTCCGGGTAGTTTTGTAGTTAAATTGCATGCAAATTACGAAATTCTGTGTCCTTACCCAAACCGTAAATCCTATCCTAGTAGTAGCATATTGTTGTTGGCATTACCGACAAAGACAAAGATCGGTGAGTGCTGACGACGGTTAATAAGCCAGAAATGGCCATTACAGTTTCCCTAGTCTTTTCGGTAATATCATTCTGCCTATATATCATGCGTAGCTGTGCGGCTGCTGGTTGGACACGAGGGAGAGCCTCTAAGGCACAACGGAACGAGCGACTTCCATAAAAACGATCGGTGAGCGCCCCCTAACACTGTATATTCCCGATCGAAAACCGACAGGGCAACGGGCTCGTGGCCCGGTATGTAGAGGCGTGGACTTCTAAACCAACAGGTCGAGAGTTCGAGGCTCGGGTGTACCACACTTCGGGCCTGGATATGGCTGGCAGACGACGGCTAATAAACCAGAAATGGCCATTCCAGTCTCCCTTGTCTTTGTCGGTAATATTATTCTGCCTATATATATATATATCAACATGAGTAAAGATTCGAGGTACTAATAAATTATCCTGTTCATCATTGCCAAAAGAAGACGAAGAAGAAAAAGGAACGATTGCATGGACCGTAGTATATTGGTGTTGACGTTTCGGAAACTTCCTCGTTTCCATCATCAGAGTGGAGGGATGTCTGTTCCTGCTTGCTCGAAGTTGTTCTACCTCACCGTCTGTCTGGTATTATAGGCATGTCTGACGCAGGAACTCTGACGGGAAAAAGGAGGAAACAAAATACCTACCTTCTTTATTCACAGCCAATGTTTATCCACGATCCTTCATACGTGTATGCCGACGAAAGACTACCCGTCAGCGATCAGACGGTGAGAAGCCAAAGTTTTGGCTTGCGATCCCCTACGTGAAGAATGTTTCCAAGGCGACATATAGAATACTAAATCCTTTTGGGATTGGGGTGGCTTATAAACCGGAATCCACCACCAGACAACAGATAATGAGACCCAAAGACACGTTACCGGCAACGGAACAATCAGCAGTGGTCTACAGCATACCGTGTCAAAATTACAATGCCCGGTATGTTGGTGAAAGGGGGAAACGCCTCTGCACAAGGCTGCATGAGCACCAGCTTTCAGTCGACCGCGAGGACAAACTGTCACTGATATATGGCCACATGCAACAGGAGAAACATAGTTTCGCCTTTGGAGAAGCAAGCGTCCTCGGACGAGCCCATGACAAGATGGCAAGGCTGGTGCTCGAAAGCTAGTCCTCAGATGGCACAATCAACAGGGCTATTGATCTTCATCCGGCCTGCCAGGCGCTGCGTACAAGACTCTAGTCAGTCCAGACGGGGTCGACAGTACTGGCGGGCAAGTCGCGGCTTCTCCAACAGTTGTCACCTTCAGAGAAGGGGGAAGGAGCCAGCCGGAGCTCACACGACCAACGCGAGACATCGCCCCACTGGCGCGCCCAGACAGCCGAGCGTGATTCGCACATGCAACGGCAACTGATCTGATTGTGAGGTGAGGGCCCATGGGCACACAGGATTTGCTGCGATTACGACAGCCGGTCAGGGGGCAGAGGTCACAGGAGCGCGCCATTGGCCACCCGTGAAGGGACCAAAGTCAATCTACAGCCAGAAGGCAGGTCAGAGTTCGTGCGTCAGGCATGTCTATAGCACCAGACAGGCGGTGAGGCAGAACAATTTCGAGCAAGCAGGAGCAGACACCCCACGACTCTAATGATGGAAACGAGGAAGTTTCCGAAACGTCAGCACCAGTACACTATTGTCCATGCAATTGCCCCTTTTTTCTTCTTCGTCTTCTTTTGGGGATGATGAACGGGATATATATATATATATATATAGATATATGTATATATTGTAAAGGTATCATCCCGTACTCCCGACATAGATACTTGCTGAAAGCCCAGACACGTGTTTCGCCGATATTCTGACGCTGCGTGACACAGCTGCGAGGGGTTCGGTTCTTCAGTGGGACCCCCAGCGTTCTCTGGCGGTTTCTGGTATATGAACTCCAGAGAATAATCAGGCGAATAATTTCAGAAATTAATCAGTGCAGGACTTGGAGTTAAATCTCCGGTACATGACTTTTTAGGGTCAGAACCGAAATTTCAATGAACATTTGAGTCGAAGACAATCAACTACTGTGGAATAACCACGTAATACCCATTCTACAAACAAGTAGTACTACGAGTAGTATGAATTCCATATATATATATATATATATATATATATGTATAGCAAATTACCATAGGCAGCAGATTTTTGTGCTAAAGATATTTTTGCGGAATTTTAGAAAAACCAAAATGCATGGATTTTGCAACGTTTATAGTGTGTAGCAGCAGAACGGTTGCAAAGTTTTTTGTTGAATGTCAGCGCATGTACAATGTAGATTTTTCGCTTTGGTTCCCTAAGTTTTCCTCAGACGTGGAGTAAGTGTACAAAACAGTTAACGTTTAAAATACCTAGAAATCGATTTCGCCCTGTCACTCCTGCTGGCCTAGTATTCTGATTGGCCAATCCCTTTTCCACTTTCCCTTGAGGCTGTTGTACACCGCATCCAATTCTACGTGTCGGGTTATGCATGCGTTATGAAAATGGATGACCTCTAAAAATTTACGGTCGTTCGTAGATAAGCAGACACCGATCATGCGAGTCATGTCTCAGCCAAATGTGTGTCCA